AAGCTGCTGTAAACGTCCGTGTGCAGGTTTCGTGTGGACAAGCTTTCAGCTCCTTTGGGTAAATACCAAGGAGCGTGATTGCTGGATCCTAGGAGTATGTTTAGCTCTGTAAGAAACCGCCAAACCGCCCTCCAAAGCGGCTGCACCGTTTGCCTTCCCCACAGCGACTGAGAGTTCCTGTGGCTCCACGTCCCCGCCAGCATGTGGTGTCGGCGCTCTGGGTGTTGGCCGTCCTGATGGATGTGCTTGATGGCCTGTTGTAGACTCAGTTACAGTGCCAGGTAGATGGCGCCATCATGCAGGGTTGGGACGTGTCTTCCAGGACACACATTTGCTGAGTCAGCAACCGACTTATGCTGCTCTCACTCCAAAGCCAGGATTCAGGAACCTGAGAATCTAAAGGGAAAGAGGGTGGTTCCTCTCACTGTACGCTCTACTGGTCCACCAGCAAAATCTGTGCTTCCTGTTCCTGCAGCTTTGGGTTCTGTAGGACTCAGTCCCAGGGGAGGGGCGCTTTCTCCAGAGGACTCAAGGACCCCTCACTGGGATTGAGCTGGTGGCTGAGACTCTGCCCAGCCACTTTGCAGTCTTTCATGCCAGTGAATCTCAGGGCAAAGACGGAGGCTGTACTGGCTGGGGAGATGGGGCCTGACTGTCGAGGGGAAGTGAGGGTGAGGTGAACTGGGGGCACCTCTGAGCACCCCGTATCCTGTTATTACAGTCAGTGGAGAAGAATGACCACGCTGTAATTCAGGCAGGACTACTGATAGCACAGCCCCAGCAGGGAGGAAGTTTGGTGTCCCACCAGGTATGGAACCCCACCTAGCACAGGGGCTGGTTGATGGGCAGAGGAGCATGGACTGGGGAGTGGGAGGAGGGCGCCATAAACACCAGAGGTGACCACATGACCGACTGCAGAAATGACTGTCTTCCTACTCTGGTATGAATATGCTTGTCTGCTTATTAACCACATACTTTGGTTTTCATTTCTTTTGTTTCTTGTCACCTAACATAATATGTGTCAAGAGTGGTTGGCCTTATTCCCAGTGTTTGCAGGACAGGGCAGCACATGGAAGTGTGAATCTTGGAAGATGAAACGTGGCAGAGAGTGACTGTGTCCTGGACACAGCCGCACGTTTTGGGGATGGTGTGTCATGTTGGGTGGGAGCACGACTTGACACTGTCTTTGTCTGGAAATGATGGCTTAAAGCCTGCTGCAAGCCAGGCCTGTGGAGGTGCTAGGGCCACGCTGGTAGAGAGGGCTGTGTGACGGCTGGGCCACTGTTCTTGGAATCCTGCATGTTCCTGGCTGAGGGGACCTTTGTGCATGAGATCTGGAGGCCAGAAAAGAAGCACGGACACACTGCTGGTTATGCCCCAAGGGTTGAGGCGGTCACACTCCTGGTAACCCACCTGGGTTGGTGGCGGACCCTCAGCCCTCGGATCCTGGGCCAGGTGTGCATCTGCCTTCCTGACAGAGCATGCCAGCTTCTCAGGCTGGACGCCCTATCATCAAGGTCGGAGGTAGAGAGTTTTGCCTTATCGGCATGTCACGTGACATGATCCCGTGGATGGTGGCCTTTGGTGTGGCGCCTTTCCCTGTCTCCATGTGCCTGAGACTCGCTGCCCTTGCATTCACTTCCTGGGCTGTACCCCACTTGTGGCTGGGCCACAGTTTATCTTCATTGATTGGAGAGCATTTAGGTGGTTTCCTGTTTGGGCAATTTTGAATAAATCACTGTAAATGTTTACTTACAGACTTGTGTGAAAGTAAGTCTTCATTTGTTTAGAGCAGTTTCTCAACCTTTTAAAAATTACTGTGCCCTACGAAGACTGTCTAGACCAGCGGTTCTCAACCTGTGGGTCACGACCCCTTTGGGGGTCGAACGACCCTTTCACAGGGGTCGCCGGGTACTCGTATGTGGGCGTATCTGCATGTGGCCCTGGAGACGGATAGAGGAGCGGTGTCTCAGTTCCTAAGACCGTCGAAAATATGTGTTTTCCGATGGTCTTAGGCGACCCCTGTGAAAGGTTGAGAACCACTGGTCTAGACTCTTTTCCTTAAGTGCTGCCTCCCTCACGACATCGCCACCCTACAGGGGTACTTTGGGGGCTGTGGCCCCGTGCAGTACCCAAGATGTGCCCCCAGAACCAATCTTTGGCCCTTGGGGGTGATGTTGTCCCACGATAATGCATGCTCTGGGGAAGACGTCTAGCAGGGGGATCTCTGGGCTATGGGGTTGAACTCAACAAGCCACCCATAAGACACTGGCAGCTCTCCCACAGGCACGGTGCCACCTCCCCCTCGTCCCCACAGCGTGGGACAGTGCCAGTTGCCCTGGGTCAGTGCCAGCACATGTTACGGTCAGTTTTCTGACATGCAGTGCGTGACTGACACTGTGGTGATCCCCACTGTGGCTTAATTCTTCCCCTTTTCCAATAAGACCCTGATTTGCTCCCTTACAGGAGGGGTGGCCATGTGACACAGCCTGGCGGATGAGGTACAACAGAAGTTTAAAAGGGAGAGCAGAGGTGGCAAGTGTGCCTGCAGGCTGCGTGTTCTGGGGCTCAAGCTCCTTTGAGAGCAGAGTGTGGGGCCGGCCGAGTGGCGCAATGGTTAAGAACTGGCTTGGGATGCCAGAGGGCCCCGGTTCGGATCCCACATATGAGGGCCAGTGACACTGCCCTCTACAGCTAAGATACTGAACAACAGCTCAACCTGGAGCTGGGCTGCTGTGAGTCGCCGGCGATGGCGTAGGCTGCAGCCCCTGTGGCAGTGGTTTGCCATGGGGAAAAAAAAAAAAGAGAGCAGAGTGTGGACCCCGCTGCTGTGCCCCTCCCCAGGACACTGCCTCCACGTGTCCCGGACGCTGGTGTGGGGGAGGGGGAGCACCCTGCCCCTTTGTTGTCCCTCCGTGGGAGGCCCCGGAGTCTTGGAGTCTCGAGTTTTGTGGTGAAACAGCTCCCTGCGCCCCCGCACAGCTGCCTCTGCTGAGGAGGCTGGAGCGCAGGGACAGGGACTAGGAGTTCCATACAGCCAGCCGTGTGCCAGCCCCAGCCCCAGCCCCAGGGAATTCCCGAGGGAACACGGCTACTGGGGCCTGGCCTGTGTCCTTAGCCGGCTGGACTCCTCCCTGGTCAGGTTCCTAGAGCCACGCCTGGCACAGCATGCCCTGTACTGCACTTGATGCTGGCGAAGTAGGGTCACAGGGTGGAGGAAAGCGGGCGACAGGGGCGTCGTGGGGCATGCGAAGGGCAGGCTTTAGGCTGAAGGCAGGTGAGAGCCAATGTCCGAGGAGTCACGCAGGACTGAGGGTCATTCTGGGGGACCTGCTCTGCCGGACGGGGCATCTGGAACTGGGCGGCTGCCAGCACTCTCAGTGTCCGGCCCACAGAATCCGCTTTACCACTTAGCGGAACTTCAGCCACCGGGGTTCGGTAGCGCCGTCTCCAAGGGTAAACCAGCGGCCTGCCCTTGTGGGCCTTGGTGGGTATTCAGGTATGCTCGGCTTGAGGACAGTGGTCTGCGTGTGGCAGGGACTGCCCACGGCGGGGTCCCCTGTGGAACGCCCACCCCACCCCCGTTGCACTCAGACTCAGGGCCTCGACCCCATTTGCTGTGTGCGCAGCTGGGAAACCAGACGGGCAGTCGGTACTGACTCTTCACCCAACAGGGGCCGCCTGTCCTGCCCAGGACGGTTCCTAGGTGTCCCTGCTCCCAGCAGTGGTGGGTGCTCCTGCTCCTGTTGAAGCTTGGCCAGTCACTGCCACCCACCCCAATGAAGCAGTGCCCTGAGCCACCAAATCTGCCTCACCACGTGCTCCCCAACCAGCTTGCCCCCCCCTCCCCCCGCCGGCCCGGCAGCCTGGTGCTCCTTTAAACCATGAGTCAGGCTGAGGCTTGGCCCACGTTCCTGCTGACCCTGGGGACCTGCGTGGACCACATCGCTTGCCATCCTCTAACCGCACACTTGTCTCTTCTTCCTGTGCTGGCTTCAGGCTTCCTGCTCTGACAGAACAAGACCTGAAGACACAGCTATAAGTATGGGTCACCCAACTCAAGGTTGGAGGTCGGCTGCACCCAGCAGTGGCTGGGAGTGTCCCTTTAAGGTAGGTGCATCCAGTCGCCAGCCAGCCATGAGCTGAGTTCATCCCTGAGCTTGGGAAGGGGTCGCCAACTTCCCAACACACGAGACAGAAAACCTGTTGTAGATGTTTATTCTACTTTAAGTAACAAAACCTATGAAGTTCCATGTTTTAATGTACAGTGATATAATACTTTGCAATATAAAATACAATTTACAGAAATTTCTATCAAGTAAACCTAAAGAAACACACTTGATTTTTACACTTGTATATTTAAATTAGAAAAATTTGTTTTACATGTAAAAAAACCTTCACATCGTATTAGACGTTGGAACTTGACACCACTTGAATGGAATTTAGCCGACCACACTTGGTTAATTATACCAATTATCCCAACTGCTGAGTTCTCGATGCTTTCAAATTTAAACATTTGTGCTAGAAAGTGAAAAATCTGTAGTGACGTACAAGGGAATAACAGACCCCAAAGAACAAATGAAACTCTAATTTTTACATTTGCAAAAGTAAGTTTATGAAAATATAAAAAAATTATCAAAGTGTATTTGTACAGTCAAATAAATTAGCAAGGCTTTCTCTCTTTCACACTTCAGAAGAACTCGAAAAATACAAGACGAGAGCAGTACACTGTCTTTCACAGCGAAAGCTTTCTAGTTTGTAGTTCTTGAACGAATATCACTATTTGCCATCTCAGGCTTTATACAAATATTGTTCCATTTTCAAAGACAAACTTTAAAATGTATCACCTCACAAATCTAACAGTTCAGAGCTAGTGCACTTTGCCTGGGATGCAGGAAGAACTGCTCAGACGGTGAAGTTCAACAAACAAAATGTTCCTGATTATTCAAATCGAAGAAACCCGTCCCCCCTAAAGTACACTTAATTGGTTTTATTTTCTCACTTTTTTTAGGCTGGTAAAATTTAAATCTTTTTCAATAAATTGTTATTCAAGATGTAACAGTTTCTACTCATGTTGCTTTTGATCATGTTGTCAAAAAAAATGTGTCAGGTGATATATAAAAACTGAGCAAAACTAAGAAATGTATTGTTTTCCGGTTGAAATTTGTAACTCGAATTTCTTTATGACAAAAGGAAAACGCATTGGTAAGCTTTCTTTCTCAGCAGCATTCCAGAGACAGCTGATACTGCCCCCACATGCCCCTAACTTCACCACACCACACACACGCAGCAGCACCCCACAGCTTTTGGGAGAGCCTGTTAACCTGCAAAAACAGCTTTTGGAAGCCTAGAAATACAGATGAGATGTCAGCAAAGGTATGGCTCTAAGGTCCACTGAAATTCCCTTAAAATTTACCATAGTCAAGTTATTGGAAAAGATAACTTTATAATCTGAAAAAAAGCAATATGCTTTTGTAGACATTTTCCCATTTCAGTAATATTAAATGGAAATATTAAGAGTTCTTAGTTTTTGTTTTTTTTTTAAAAAAAGCATCAGAATTGTAAAGATGTGGAATTTTGTAAGAAACCATTATACACAAAATTACAGTAATATCTGAAGTCCAGAATATTCTATTCTGCATCTAAGTTCATAGCTATTTGAAAAACTATTTGTTCGACACATTTAATGAACTTGGCTTTTGAAAAGGACGGTCGCCCGGCCGGCCGCTAGGTCTGCGCGGCGGGCTCGGCGGCCCGCGGGGCCTCGGCCTTCGGGTCCCGCGCGCTCTCCTTGCTTTTGCTGCGGTCCTTGCGGTCCCGGCCCCGCTCGCGCTCGCGCGCCTTGTCGCGGTCGCGGTCTCGGTCTCGGCTCCGAGACCGCTCGCGCTCGCGCCTCCGGTCGCGCTCCCGGTTCCTGCTGCGCTCCCGCTCGCGGTCCCTGGCCGCGCCCCGCTCTTTGCCCTTGTCCCACTCGCGGCAGGAGTCCTTCTCGCGGTGCCGGTCCCACTCGCGGCCCCGCTCCCAGTCCCGCTCGCGGCCCCAGTTCCGGCCGCGCTCGCGCTCCCGCCGCCGCTCGTCGAAGGCGCGGCCCTGCCGGCCCTCGGGCTGCGCGTCGGGCTCCTCCGGCTTCTCTTTGGGCCCCGCGTCAAAGCGCTCCCGCGGCCGCGCCTCCGGGGCCTGGCTCCGGTACTCGAGGCCTTTGCCCTCGCGGAAGTCGGGCTCGGGGCCCGGGCCGGGCGCCCCCGCGGGCGGGCCGGCCTCGTCCCAGCGCTCCTTGCGGAGCTGCGGCGGGTGGCTGGGCAGCTCCAGCAGCGGCCGGGGCCCGGGCTTCATGGCGGGCTGGCCCTGGAAGTGGAAGCGGGAAGGCGCAGGTTCGCTCTTTTCAGGAAAAGGCGCAGAAGACCCCCTCGGTCCACCAAACTGCAGGGGTGCTGGCGCCCTTTGATTTGCAAATCTCGGCGGCGAATTCACCCTTTGCTCTTCAAACTGCTGAGGCTGCATCCCCCTGGGTCCCTGCATGAAATTGGGTGCTTGGCCTCTGGGTCCTTCAAACTGATTAGGATGTGGCCCCCTTGGGCCCACAAAATGGCCTGGGGGTGGTCCTCTCTGACCCCCAAACTGAGCAGGAGGAGGCCCTCCTCGGGGCCCTTTAAACTGAGAGAGCAGAGGCCTCCTTGGGCCCCCAAACTGGAAAGGTGCCACGCCCCTGCTCCCCATGAACTGGGCTTGTTCTGGTCCTTCGAACTGAGCAGGAGGACCTGCCATCTCGTTGTACGAGGCGTCCTGGAACTCCCTTTTTTCTCCGTGTGGATCCTTGCGTTCTTCAAATTGGGGAGGTGCTGTTCCTCTGGGCCCACCAGGGTGAGAGGGTGAGGGGCCCCTGCTGTCCCCATAGGGAGGTGGTCCGTGTGGCCCCGAGAATAAGGAAGGAATGGGCCCCTTCTGGGCGACGAACCTGGCCGGTGGGGGCCCCCTTGGCCCCTCATTGTTGGAGACATTCTCTTCCGGAAATGGAGGGACTGGACCCCTTGGTCCTGGGAAATTGGGGCCATGAAGCCCCGACATCCCGAAGGTGCGTGGTGCAGGTTCACGCTGGCCCTGAAACTGGGGCAGAGGGGCCCCTTTCTGTCCAGGTGCTGGGAACGGAGCGGACCCCTCACCAGGTCTGGACTGGGGGGCTCTGTCTCCTTCACTTTCAGCTGCCGAACGGTCACTTTTTTCAGCAAACAGAGCATTTCTAGGGTCCTCATACTGGGACGAACCAAAGGATTTCTCCTGAGATGTAAACGCTGGAGCTGAGAAGTGCTCCCTCCCTGCAGAATTGAAATTCTGGCCGGTGTTCTGCAAAGGGAAGGTGGACGGGAAGGCAGTGCCCGTGGGCGTGGGCAGCAGCACCTTCCGGGCAGGTCTGGCCGTGGGAGGGCCGCTCTCAGGGGGCGGCTGGGCTGGACTCTCTGAGGGCTCACCTGCGGGGCTATCCTGCTGGGCTGGCACCGTGGCATCGTCACGGGGAGCCCACGACTCCTTTTCCTCCGGGGCTGGCGCTGGCCCCTGAGCGGCAGTGGTCCCTCCGGGCGGGGCGCTGGGCGTGCAGTTGGCTGGGGCCTTGGAGGCCTCGCTCTCGCTGCTCTCGGCTAATCGCCGCGCCTGCCGAGGGTCCCGGCTCTGGCTCTGTCTTGGGTCCGAGGCTAGGCCTGGACCCTGACCGGCGGGGGGTGCCACTGCCCGGCCTGCCGCTGGCTGCTCATGCTGGAACAGCTCCGCCTTGGGCGGTGCTGACTTTGGGGGCGGCGACATCAGCGCATCAGACACGGAGAAGTGCGCCATGGAGGCCCCGACAGCGGCCCTCTGCAGCCGGAGCGCCTCCTCCTGCTCCTGCACTTGCCGCTTCTGCTCCTCAATCTGCTTGTTGAGTTCTTCTATCATCTTCTGCTGCTCGACCAAAGACGGGGTAGAGATGTCGGCAGCGTACACGGCCGGCCTCTCCGTGGAAGCGCCTTTGACATCTGCACACATCCTGTTGGGCAGGTCGTCCACGGTCACTTTGGCTTCTTCTAAAATCGTCTCATCCTCTGGGTCGTACGCCACCTCCTCGCGTTCGGTGGTCTCAGAGGCCTTCTCGCTGTCGGGCCGTTTTCCCCGGTCGCTGAGCTGAGTGTCGAAGGCCCTGTCGGGACCGTACTCTTCCTCAGGGTCGTAGGGCCTGTCATCTTCCTCCTCCTCCAGAGTCTTCTCTTTTGAAAGCTGACCAAACTGCTGGACAATGGGATCCAGCAGCGGTGCGGCCGGCAGCCCGCAGTCAGCCTTGGCCTTGGTGTCTTGCTGGGCGGCTGGGGCAGATTCCACAGGCTCCTTGGCAGGAGGGTCAAATGACTTTTTCTTCCCAAACAGCGTCTGCAGGATGTGCTCCAGGGGCGAAGCTGTTTTCAAAGCAGAAGCAGCAGCTGCTGTGACTGTGGCTGATGCAGTGGCCGCCTCGGCGGTGCTCGTGACTCCTGGCTTGAGGGACGACAGCATTTTTAACACCGACGACGATGAAGCTGGTGCGGCAGGTGGTTCTGGCAGAGGGGGCGGGGGCGGGGGCGACCCCGGGGGTGTGGTGCCGACAGCTGAGTCCCCAGAGGAGAGCTGATACTTGGGGGGCTTCTTCTCGGACTGCGAGGCTGGGGGCGCTCTGGGGTAGACCGAAACATCCATTTCTTCCTGGGTCTGCAGTCGGGCCCGCTTCTCCTCTGACTTGTCGAATTCTCCAGCATTTGAAGGCCGTTTTATTTTTTGACAGATTACTAACCCAAGGATGATGTTAGGACGAGGTGACTCAAGACCTGCAAAACAAAGCACCGTGTGAATTTTAGACTCTAAATTCAGCTTCCGTCCTTCAGAGGTGCACTCTCTCAAGGGCAGCAGTGGGGAATGTTTTAATAGGTAGAAGCAAGAAATTCTGTGGCAAAATAAAAGCAAGTGTTTGAAGAGCTTATTGCAAAAGACTGTGAATGCATCCATGTGTCGTTCCCTCCCCCCTCCCCCCCAGGGCCGACGGGGCTGTTGGACCAGAAGCAATTAATCCCCGGGTCACAAATCATGAAACCAAGGGACCGATTGGTGAGTACATTCGCCTCAGTCATCAGAGTTCACATTACAGACTTCAAAATGATAGGTAATACTCAACAACAGGGTGGGAGAGGAGGTGGGGCAGGCCATGATACAAATGTCCAGCATCCTTGACCTACAGGGAACAAGGCATGAAAGTACTAGGATGGTTTTGCAACAAAATCTTAGCTGTGTTCTTTTATTTGCTTCTTGCTGCACAACAGGAAGGAAACAGCCCTTCTAGTCTTTAACTTGTGAGTCGCAACACCTGAATTAAGCTAAATAAGCTAATATTAGAGCTTTGATTAGAACCTACTTCTACAACTCAATTGCAACGATACAGCACATCCCATTAGCTAAGCAGGCCCATTAGCTGCTGGTGTCAAAATTACAATTCATGGGAAAAGTGATGCTGACTGAAATGGCTGAAGTCAATACGCTCAGGTTTACAAAGGAACGCAGGGAGGGAGCATTCACTTATCAAGAGCCACCTAATGCTCACTCTTTGTAAACACAGGACATGGTGCATCAATCAAGCGTCCAGGTGTTCGGAATGCTGGTGGCAAAGAGAATATACACGGGGAGTTTTAGGGCACAGCACGGTTCTTAAAAGTTATTTCTTAAGGACAGTATCCCAAACATTCCCAACAGTGGTACACTGTCAGGCGTGCTGGCATGTCAGTAATGGCTCTCCCTCCTCCACACTCCTAACAAATCCAAATGCCAAAAGGGAACACACAAAAAATCCTAGTCTCCAAACAGTAATTTAGGGAGAAATGCTGCACAAAGGACACAGTTTTTTTCAACAGCAGAAGCTACTTAAAAATTAAATATTAATTCAATTTATAATTTAACATTACTGTGGTATATATTCATGTTACTTTTTCTTATTAAAAATCAGTGTTGTTTTTCCTATTCTGTGATTTCTGTGATGATCACAGATCACTTCGTTATATAGTCCTGTTAATCTTCCTAAATCCCAATAGATGGGTTGACAGGCTCAGCACGAGGGTGCTGGATGTCCCACCCACCTGAGGACCATAGGCGACCCGGCACATGGACTGACAATGCATCGTACCCGCTTCACAGGCTGACGTGCGAGCTGAGGTGCCCACTGAAGACCTGTGCTCCTAACACCCCAGGACCTCACCACCTTCCTTAGATATGCCGCCTTCCAGAATGTCCTCCCTGCCCTGCTGCGAAGACCCATGTCCAGGGAGAAGAGGGACTGGGCAGAGGAGGGAACAGGGACTGGCTGGGCAGGCCGCCTGGAGTTTCACCCCCAGATGCTCCTGCTCAGATGTGAGGGGTAATCAAGTCCATTTTCTAATTGACATGAATTAAGGATATTTTAACTCGAAACAGTACCTCTCTCATGCTAACAGCTCTTTACTGTTTTACAGCATACTCTCACCCAGCTTTTGTGTCTGGTCAATTGTTACATTGGCTCTGAGGGCCTGTCTGGACCTAGCTGTTGACAATGGCCCGAGAGCCTACAGGACAGCTTCTGTGCTGGGCCCCGGCTCCCTAAAGGACCCAGCTTCAGAAGGGAACGCACTCAGCCACAAGGGTGACTGGGAGCCTCGGTGTGGGGAGGTCCCCCAGAGCTTGTCCTCAACCCAGAGGGGCTATGCCACATGAGAAACAGCCAACTTCGCAAGCACAAGGCTTGACGAAGGACTCAAACGTCAGGTCCTTGAACTGTGTGCGATAGGAAGTCACTGCTAAACCAGGAGGACATGGTCTGCAGGCCTTGTGAAGGTGTACCACTCCAAATCAAACTTCTAATGGCTTAACATGCTTACTAACATCCCAGCCGCGGCAGAACCCTTTAGATTTGAACCTTTGTCGTCATAGTGATGGTAGGAAAGGTCATGGTTAAATTACTTAATAACCTAGCAGAGCTTCCAGCTGGGTGGGTGTTAGTTTTCAGTTTCCCCACTCATCTTCCCCAAGGTTTTAAATTTAAATGGGGCTCTCAAAATGCACACCCCTATTTTGAAGCAGTCAAATCTTATCCTATTCATATGTTCGTGTTATGGCTGCATGTTTGAATTATAACTTATATTCACGGGAGAGAAAGTGAAGTTCACTGAGCTCTGCTGGGCCTCGGACACAATCCTTACTGAGACGAGAGAATGCTGCCGAGTAAAGCGGCGTCTGCAAGGGAAGCTCACCCAGCTCTTCCTCCCAAACCCCTGCCGGCCTGGCCCCCCCAGAAGGGGCAGAGCAGGAATCATGCTGGCTGTGGGGTGGAGACCAAGGGCTCCAGCCCAGGGCTGCATCTCGTTTGCAGAATTCCTTTCTCCATTGTTAGAAGCAGGGCACTCACCCACCTCCCTTTTGAGGGTCGTTGAGGCTTGTAATTCACACATCAGATGAAAACAAGCACAAGGTGGGTGGGGCTGAAGTAACAGCGGCAGCTAAAAGTGCCCTTCTCCATTCCAGACAAGGAGTGTTGAACAGACTGAGAACAAGGATAGGGGAACTCCCACCAGATGCCCTCCGCATCATGAGAGCAAATGTTTACCCTCGGAAAGGGCTGTGGGTGAAAACAAGCCTTTTTAGCTGCATGGGTCATGGGGGAGGGGCGCCTCAGCTCAGCGGTTCCATTAAACCACCCACAGTGGAGGAACAGGAAGCCCAGGGACAGGGCCATCTGCAGAGGCGTGTGCCACCTTGTTTCCTGAGACAAGACCAAACCAGGATACGTGTCTAGGTGTGTCAGCCAGAGGTATGAGGGAAGGTGAAGTGGCAGGAAGAGGGAGCAGTCCTGGGCCCCCCCTCGCACCTCAAACCTGACATCACGGGACAAAGCTTTTTCATAAACCATCTGAAAGCTGACTCCTTAACCCCCAAACTATCAAAACATTGCTTTCACTCCTGAATTTGTCTGGCACGCTCCACTATCCACTATTTAAAATGAAAACCCTCTTAAGGTCTCTGGGTCTCTGCAAACAAAAACCTCCCACCTGCTGGAACAGAAAAAGTGTGGGAGTTCCTAGGTGACAGTCTTTTAAGTGCAACTGGGCAGGAAAGACTTGCAAACACGGGCAGCGGTGTGCCTGTCCAGCCCTATACACGCACGCACGCATTCACACACACTTTTGCTTCCCAATCTTGAATCCATACAACCTTACAAAGTCACGGGGCTCAGCAGTGCTCCAGGTACGAGTGTCATCTCGGTCCAGGCAGGCTGCAGCCCTCGGCTGGGTGATACGGCTGGACGGGAGGCATGCTGGCTACAACAAGCACAGGGGGACACTGTGACAGGTACCGAGAGCTACTAACTGGTTCAATTCAAACAAACAATGAGCAGTTTCCACGGAATACTTTTATTGGTTTCGGAGGAGGAAGGTACAGTCAACAGCAGACGCTGCGGTCAGTCTGCAGCTACCAGTACACTCGGAGACCGCAGAGTCCTTACCTGACAGCATCTCAGGCGCACAACTTTCCAGCTAAGTCAGAAGGCAGTTAAAAGGGAACACAGAAAGGGGCCCCTATGCATATGAACAGTCTCATAAGAAGGCGGCCCTCCCCCATCGGCTGGAACACCTCCGAAGGCGCCTGCCCGAGGTCTCAGAAACCCCAGAGAACCTGAGCCTGCCGTCTCTCGGGAGGCGTGGGGCCTGCTGGGTCGTCCTAGCGGGTAGCGGGCTCACACAGGGAAACACAACGAGACAAGCGTCCAGTCTGCCTGGTCTTCCATCTGAGCCCCATGTCCCCAGTGGTGAGCCGTCAGTCATGGCACAGAGCTGAGCTAACATCCGCAGTGGGAAAGACACTCAGCTGGATTAGAGACGCGGCTTTCCAGCTGTTCTTGGAAATAATGCTGCCACATTATTACAATGCCACTGTGTGACCCGAGACAACCTGGCATTTCTGTGGGCAAGTCATGCTCTGGCGGGGTTCTGAGACGTGGATGGGCACAGAGAAAGTGGGCCAACGAGGGATTTGCAGACACACGGCCCGGCGTTCGCCGTCCAGAGCATGGCTGAGACAAGAGCGAGCACTGACCAGGGCCAGCCATGCTGCTTTCAGGTTGGAAGACGGTTTCAGCACCGTCAGCGTCTTCACCTGCTTCTCAAGTGCAATCAGCAAGAGCTCAGGGGGACATGCTCTGGTCAAAATCTGCTAGGGCGCCGAGCTCACGGCACGGGTTATCTCCGTAAGCTGAGGTGTGTGTGTCGGTCACTGTCCCCTGCGACGACCTCTCCCACATAACCTTCTCCTCACACTCCCACAGCGGTCCGCATGGCCCCCATACAGGCTGGCAGCTCCCAAGCTGGAGCTCTGTGTCCTTGGAGGCCTGTGCTTTGAGCAAGGCCTCGGGACAGAGATGGGGCGGGTGCCAAACCTGGCTCAGCCATTTACTGGATGTATGACCTGAGGAGTAACAGCCGTTGGCAGCACAGGCCACCCCTTTGCAGAACAGAGACAAACGCTCTGACCTGCAGTGGGGCCAGTGCTGAAGGCTGCTGGGGACCCTGCTGAGGGGTGTCACTGCCCCCCTCTCACTCGGCCTGAGCCTTCAAAGGACGCTGTGCCGAGACCAGCTGAGGGCAGGGACCACTGAGTCAGGAGAAGCATCCCCACGCACAGCCTCCCCACGTACACACATGCGCACGCGCGTGCACACACACACACACACACACACACACACACTAGGACAGGTGGAGGCTGTATCTGGGGTGTGCTAAGTCATGCGATAAACACGTGAGGCAGGTCTGGTAGATAGCCTAACCTGGAACCAAGGTTGTTTAGTGGGTGTGGACATGTATAAAACATACATAGATATTAACGTATGTATCAAACAATGACATCAGAATGTAAAATAGTATACTAAACAGGCTTAGATTTAGAAGCCCTTAAATTAAAAAAAGTCTTTAAGAGCTCATGAACGAAAAATCATTGGTCATGTTTCTAAAATCCTTCTTACTGCTTTACCACCACACATTTGTTGTTTATTGTGGATGAAAATCTGCCGGTCTTTGGGGTGTCCCCCATAGGTAGTGTCAGAGCCTCAGGAATGCAGATGAACCAGAGTGACGCCCACTCAGCCATTACCGAGTGTGTCTGGTGGTCAGCGCCCATCACACAGCGGATGAGGCGAGTGCCCCCCACCCCAGCCCTCCTGTCCGAGTCCCTTGGAAGCACCCAGTGTGACCCTCTCCTCCCCTCTGCAGGACTGCACATGGCCCCAGCTCCCACCACAGCCTGATGGAGGGGCTGCTCTGTGGCCTCCCCTTGACCCTTCCTGTCCACTGCAGGGAACCAGTCCCCGCCGAATCCTGAAGCTGCACCCTTTCCCATTGTGCCGGCGGCAGGGCCTGGCACCCTGGGCGTGGTCCCCACACCTGAGGACCACGTAACCTAACAAGATGCAGCCGCTGGGCTCAGGGAGGCAGAGGGAGCAACGGGATGGCTCACACCAGGAGGAAAGTGTTTTCATTGTTCAAAAGGGGAGACTCGGGGCCCCCCAACTCACATCTCCACAACAAAGTGCTTTACATGCAGAGAGGGGTGTGTCTGTGTGATCAGAACCCCCTGTTCACTAGCCTCACATGGTGTCTACACCCTGGACTGACCGGAGGCTCTTCACAGGTGTCCAAGGTCAGCTTCTTCATGTCACCTCCAGGGACACGGGATGTTTCCCTTCACGCTCATCCAGGGAGGGGCCAGCCGCTTCACCAGCTGCTCCCTCACCAAGACCCCCACCCACCAGGTGGCATTTCTTCACCCTGAGGAGTATGATGGGGCACCCCGAAGCAATCAAGGTGATTGGATACATCGTGCCAGTGACAACCCTGCAACTACGGGCTTGCTGATCCCCCTGTGGGGGCGATTCTGAGAACGGGACGTTGCGCCCCCGTCAGGGTCAGGGCCAGGTGAGGGTGCCCCACTAGGTCCCAGCTATTTAGGGGTAGTGTGAGTGCAGCATGTGGCTGCGTGACGGGGCCAAAGCACGGAGGTACCAGGGTCTAGGCAGCACCAGTGATGGCCTGACACGTTCGGTCACTGCCTCCAGAACAAAGCACGTGCGAGCGTGTGCCGTGGGCTAGCCCCATCATCTTCCAGGAAGTACTAACCCTCTGGGGACTTCCTGGCCAAGGACACGCTCCCGCTTAGGCACCTTCTGCCAACATCTTCTCAGGGCACGAAGAGCCGGGCATTCACAGACCACGTTCCCTGGGACTCACCCTCCACCCCCTGACAAGTCTGAAGATTTTTTAAGGTTAATTTGTAAGTAATCCTTAAAAAGCAGCACTTTATAAGGAAGCAGCAAACACAAAGTCTTTTGCAAAAGAGAAGAGAGCTTATGAAGATCTGAGCAGTAGACAGAGAAGTCATTATTTTTGGAACTAGCTGCCCCTGCACTACCGTTTCCTGTGTGCGCTGGGAGTCACTCGTTAGAGGAAAGCAGCCTGCCTGCCTCTGCGCTGCGGGGCTGAGCGTCACTAGAAAGCCCAGAGTGAAGGTGCTGGCCAACGAGGGTGGTGTTACCTTTCCTCCCGGCTCCTCTTCAGGCTCCTGGCACCGGCCGTGCGCTGACCCCCAGCCTGACAGGCTGGCTGGATGCCACGGGTCTTTTCACTTCATAAGAGCTTTCCTGGGCCATCATGCAGATGGGAGGGGACTCCTAGTGCCCCGCCCCCATCTCCTGGAAGCCTGCCCTCTAGCTAAATGCTCTGTGAGAGCTCCTACCCCTCTCCTCCAGTCATGTGTGCCGAGGCGGCATGAGCGCCTGGCCACCAGCTCATAGGACGCGTGTTGGGGGAGGGGGCGTGTGGGATCAGAGACACCTAGCTGCCACCCAGTAAAGCCGGTGCTTACCTGGTCCCTCAAATGGCAAGAGCTTGGGTGGGACAGGGTCCTCGGCGCTGAGCGGGATCAGGTAGAGGTCCTTGACGTGCCTGCTGTTATTAGCGACCACGCCGAAGCGGCCGCGGCTACTAAAATAGGAGTAGAGAGAGATATAGGCCACTTCCTCCTCCTCCGTCGCAGGGTGAAAGCGGATCAGACACAGCTCCTACAATCGAGAGCACAGGGGACAGACACATGGACCTGCGGCCGCTCTGGGCAGGCGCCTGCTCTCAATGGGCTTCGGCACCAGACGTGCTAAAGCCGGAGGCGTGAGCGGCTGTCTGCTCGTCGCCCTGCTGTCCAGCATGTCAGCCATGGAGTGGCAGGGGGGACACAGGCTCACATAGAGGCTGCCGGACTCCCACCTCGGCCTCACTCTCTCATCCCTGGTGGCCTCCACACAGCCCCCGCCCCCCAGCTCGCGTGCCCATGAGACGGGCCACGTGGGCGCCAGCCTGGTGCAGTGTCGGGGACACTAAGCCTCCACTGAACAGGACGACTGCAGTCACCACCAGCCAGCTGTGTGATCTACAAAAGTCACCTGCGCTTACAGAAACTGGGTGGGCTACACCAAACGGCAGGCTCTAACTCTTTTGCAAACGTGACACAAACTAGAGCCCCTGCCTAAGGTCATGACCATGGCCGCGGCCAAGATCAGGTTCGCAGCGACCACGGCCACCTCCCAGCCCCACAAGTCAGTAATGAAACTCGTCGCTTTGTTACTCTAACGCTCTCAGTTATCCAGCTACAAACTTAATTTTAAACATTCACCTGGAAATATCTAAGAAGCGGTAGGCTGACATTTCAAGTGCTAACCCAGCAAGTGGAGAAGTGAGAGAAAGAACCAGACAGACACCGTCCGTGGGTGTGGAGATTAGACTGTAAGCAGGTACCTTAGACACAGAAGATTTGAGTTTGCCGACATAATCCCAAACCGTCCTCGGTGCGATCCTTCCACCAATGTGAATCGTGTCGGGCAGGTCCTAAATAAAACGCACGTGCATGAACGCCCGGTGGGACTAGCATTCAGAGGCTGAGGCAGTCACTTCAGGGCACTGGCTCCCCAACATTCAAGAAAACCACACCGATTCCAGAGAAAACGGTCCTAACTGTACCAAACACTGCTCGGCTGGCTAACACTCAGGGCTGCGAGCTACCAAACCCAAGGGTGAGGTGGTGACCAGCTTCCACTAGACAGGCTGGCATCTGGCAAAACACTTCTGCCATCTTTTGTGACCACCACACACAGTGCTGCCTCAGTACTATCCACAAAAGGACTGGCTGACTGCACCTTGCTACGGTCTCAGTGCTGGTTTTCATTAATTGCAAAAAATAAAAGAGCTGTTGTGTGTGTGTCACTCCACACCAAGGCAGGTCACAGAGGCCGGTCCCACCCCGGCTGGGCGCACACGCACACTGGGTAAATGCCCAAGCTCAACGGAGAAAGGACAATGAACTCCAGCTTTTTCATAAAAGCTGGGATGCACAGTTTCTCACTGGAATTTCTGCCAGCTGTCCAGACTGGTACCCTGCAGACTCATGAGCGCAATGCCCACCAACCTCCTTGCATTTCTGGACCCTCGGTTGGAAGGCTGTCCCACAGTGGACTGTGGTACAGGACCAGAGCCCCGTGACAGACACATGCGCGCGCGCACAACCCACACACACACACAAACTCTCTCTCTCTTTCAGTTCTAACCTCACTGAGATAATCAAAACATCCAGAGACAGGATATGCCTTAGTGACAAACTTTGCTACGCTTTGCATGTTAATAAATCCTTTCCAAATGGTGCTGAGTCGAGACAAAAAGAAGGCTGTATCTCCTTCTGGAGGGGACCGCGACTCTGTGATGCTGTAAAACAGAACCATGGAAAAGAAGTTAGTCTCTGCACAAAGAATTTCCCAAGTACAAAGATTTTACATATTGACGAAAGTAAAAGTGAATTCCTACAAGTTTTAGTAGCTTACTTTTACAAATTAACTACTTCAATCATAATGATATAAACAGACATTCTGGTCAAAGAAAAATAAACCGAACAGGCAATGACACGAGCCGGTCATGAATTCAGATGTCCGTTTTCAGATCTGTACTTCTAGGTGGTGCCAGGCATCTTAAGTCTGGGGCTTCTGAAACGCCTCCACCGGACTGCAGGGCAGCGGTGTGTTTCTGGGTACCTGGCAGAGCTGAGCTACTGCACCACTCACTACTGCTCCTTCTGCATCTAAAGTAACAAACGGTGCTATACCACGCGTGGAGACCGCACCTGATGCTCGGTGACGGTGGAGCCGACAGGACGTATCTGGGCTCAGGGGATGAGGATGGCTTAGCCAGGATAGACTTGGGCACCAGCACAGAGGCCACAGCAGGCTTCAGGACATCCGGTCGTGGTTCTGCCGGGTGGGCACTGTCTGGGTGGGCTGCTCCAGGGGTCGGGACTATGCTGGACCCGCTCTGTGCGGTTCTGGGGTCTCGGCCAGACATGGTAACTGTGGTGAGAACCATGCCCCCACAGGAGGCCGGAAAGGAGGACCCTTCCAGGGCAGAGGGCTCGGGGTGGCTGTCCCCTGGAGGCCCAGAGAAGCCCTTCCTCTCCGAGTGTGCCCGAGAATCGCTTTCTGGGTCTGGCTCAGAGGCATTCTCGGGCAGAGCTGGCATCACTTCATCAGCTGAGCTGAGAACTGGCTCAGAGGAAGAGCTGTCATGCTTGGGTTTTGACTCTTCCTTCTTAGCAGAAGCAGACACTTTCTGTCTTTTTGGAGCTGGTTCATCTTCTGACAATGGAACTTGACCTGAAGAAAAGAGGAAGGCCTTCGTGAGAAATCTGACACTTGTGAGGGAACAGCTTGTCCACAATCAGGTCATAATTTCTTGCAAGAATAATAAAAAACAGAACACCACTCTATAAAGGTTGGAGCTGACTTGACAAACTCCTAAAGACCATCCCAGCCTTTGAATTTCTTAAACTTGGGTCAATACCATTGCCATTAGAAGGTATTGCAACTTTAAACGAAAACAAGTCAAGTCTCACTTCCAAAGTTTCAGCCCCAAGCTTGCTCACCTGTACAGACTTTACAGTTCAGGTCAAAGAGGTGCGCCCGGTGCTGGCTGGTCGTGTCCTTCAGCATGCTGCTGAAGACGTCCAGGAGGGGCGCGGCACTGCTCTCGGGGACAGCTCGCACCGACTCCTGCTCCTGCCGGTGAAGAGAGAAACCACCACGGTCACTTCCTCCCGGCCCATCCCAGTGGACGGCACACGTGAGAAACCCCTCGTGGGTTAAGAGCGCCCCCAAGGGACCACCGAATGCACGTTCCCAAGGACGGTGCAAGTGCAGGTGCCGTCAGAGCTCAGATCTTCCCCTGCCGCCCAGGGCTTCCTGTGAACAGCAGCAGCCACGTGCTTACGTCCGAGTCTGACACGGGTGGAGAATCTTCCATATCGGGGATGGCTTCCTGCTTCGCGGCAGTCCTTTTACTTTCATTGTGCAGTCTAGCTCTGGACTCCATCACCTAAGGCGAAAACGACACACACAGAGCCTTACACCTTTTCTGTGCAGGCCCCTCCCGCCAACAGTCTAGGCTTCCGGGGAAGTCCTGTGCCTCCAGCAGCCACGCCCACCAGCACTCACAGGTTTCGTCGGCCGCTCTTTCCACACGGAAAGCTCTTTAGATACAAGTTCTTCTGGCTTCATTCTCACAAGTTTTGCCAAAGAGATTTCTTCACGCAGAACACGATGGAACAGTCCCTGGGAACAAACATCTTTCATTCACTGGTTCAAAAACACCTGAGTGGTTGTTTCTAAGATCCTAGAAAGGATCTGGAGAAAACAAAGCAGCAGGGGCCTCATGGCTTCCAGCCAACAGCCCACAGGAGTAAATGCTGGGCTGCCCCTGCTGTAGCACAAATGCGCCCAGAAAACATGGGCACCAAGGTCGCACAGCTGACCTCATGGTCCACGTTGTACCAACTGCTAAAAAGACCTCAGGGAAAACAAAACCAAGTCCAGAAGGCACAGTGTTGGGAATAAAGGTAGGAAGAGACCTCTTCAGTCAGGGGTTAACGTGGCGAGACGAAAGTCGGAGCTTTCCGTGGGACCCTGCATCTAACACAGGTGACAGAATTCACAAGGCCGACCGGAAGCTGGGTGACCATGAGCCCTGGCACTCAGGAGGCAGAAGCCACTTCAGGCAAGTGGCCAACCCATTTCATCCCGTGGGAACAGCATTGACACCCTCCTCCCCCCAGGTGCTGTGAGGACAGGTGTGCTGTCCAGGCGGTGAGCATGGCAGTTTACTGATCTAAGGAAACCCATATGGACCGGCTTGGCAGAAAAGGCTGTCTGAAGCAGCCCAGCCATGGAGATGCCCACATACTAGGACAGAGAATTTGAACTTTATTCTGGAGCCGATGGAATGACGAGGACACAACTATACAGCCATGCTTACGAGACGAAGCCGGCAGAATAAAGATGGACTCCAGAGAGCGGGTGAGACACCCCAGCTCTCTGTTAAGGGAGAGAAGGATGAATGAATATCTCACACCAACAGCCTATGGGCAAGCGTCAAAGGGGATAAAAATACCTTTTAGCTGCCACTGAAAGGATAGCAATACTTGTTTAATGTGACTCAGCTAAACAAACCAGAGAGCAAGTGTCCTTCTGTCGCAGGGCCCGCACCCCGAACACTGAGCTACACACCTGGTTTTTGGGGTCCTTGAGGTTGAACATTAGGCTGCGGTATTTACTCTTGTAGCGATTGTCCGTGACATGGTACAAGCCGAACATTTCCTTCTCAATCCGGAGGGCTATCTTCCCGACATCATTCTCCGTCATGATCAGGTCATCGCTGTCACTGACTCTAGAAGGCACAAAGAAACCGCTGTGTAAAGCACTGCACCTGCCCGTTATGTTTTTATTTGGGACAGACGTGAAAGGGCCACTTTAAATGGAAAACAGGTAAGAAATCAAGTGTAACAGCTCACCTTTTCCACAAAATCTCCTTCAAGGAGCGTCGTATATTTTGCCGAATCTGTGAATTTGGCTGTGATGGGGTCGTGCTCGGGGTACTCAGGCGTCCCGGGGCTGGAGAGGCCAAGGGCGCAGAGGTTGCCATGGGCTTCCTGGTGGCTCCTACCAAGGCGGCAGAGCTGGGTAACTTTTTGGAAGCAGGTGTGGTGGTGCCAGGCACCAGCCCTGCCTGCTTGGCGGCCGGAGCACTGCCCGAGGCGGAGGCCGAAAGCCATGGTCTTTTGGGGATGGCGCCCTTGAAGCCCGAGGGCACCTTTCTGATGACCGGTTTGGCCGCTGCCACATTTACAAAAGGAGCCTTCTTTGGAAGGAGACTTCTGGGCGGAGGCTGCTTGCCGCCCACCGAGGAGCCCGGAGGGGCCGCTCTCTTGGGCACCACAGACGCTGTTGCCGGGCTCTCCTCCACTTGTCTGTCCTCCTTCACGGCTGCAAAGGAGACTCACTCTTAGTGGGCAGGAAGATGCCCAAGCGCGGTGACACGCTGTGAAAAGCATGCTCACCCTTAAGCTGGCAAAAGCTTACAAGGCCTTATTGATGAGATACTGATTTACAGAAACAGGTTTTTTAAATACTGAATTCAGAAAAGGAGTATAATTAAGGCCTCTATCAGTATTTAACATCACGGCCATGCTTTATTTCAGAAAGAAATGCTTTACTGTATTATTACTGAAGCCTGTTACTTCAACCAACAAACTACTTATCAAAGGCTTGATATAAATCATTAGCTAAGCTTGAAAACGGAAGGACAAATTTACATTATTAAGAGAAGGCAGATTTTAAAAGAGCACCTCATTAAAAATTCAAGTGCAATTTTTTGTAAACGTAAGTTTAAAAGCTCTTTTCAGGATGAGCCAAACAAATTCTCTTCAAATGTTAAATGCATGCCAACCCCCAAGCTCTAAAAGGACTACTAGAGTCCATGCCGGGGAGGGGGTGTTGCTCACAGGTGTCCATTATATTTTTGGACAAGTGAGTAGGATGACTAATAAAACACAGGCAGTTCTGCAGCACGGGAAAGGTCCATTACTTTTTATACTAAGACATGACAAGATACATTATTAAACGCTGTTATATAAACGGTCCCACTTACAACCCTTTAGTTGTATTTGATCGTTAGGTAAGACAATAAATTAGCACTTCTAATCCAAACAAGGATTGTTGACAACAGCTAAGACATTATCAAAACATCTCAACGTGTACAAAAATATGATGCCAGTAAGTCTCAGGAAAGCAAGGAAGACAATTCTGAGGACAACTCAGGGACCTGTGCCCGAACAGGGCCAGGTCGGAGCTATGATGAGGGCACAGGTGGCATGCTTAGGATGGTCCCTGCTCTGCTCCCCATGCAGAATGGCAGGGATGGGGGGCCCCCTGAGCATACCAGGACACTGTGGGGATGCCACCTAGAGCAGGCGGGCGAGTTACACAGGGAGAAGGCACGTCCCCGGGACGGGTTTTTCTCAAACTACCCCTGCGGCAGTGAGCCCCTAAAACTCCCAGACACCTAAATGGGGGGCTTTGGCAGATACTCCGGTGACCTGTCAATTTCATCGAGGGATTAAAAGTCAACCGCCAGCAAGCCCCCCATATTCATAACTGTTGCAGTGAACCAGGGAGAGTCTGAAATCTGGGCAAAGAGGTGAGATCCCACCTACAGGTCCAGCCTCCAGGCCAGTTGAGCTCCACGGCCCCAGTGCAGCCACCACCACCAGCCTTGGCCATCCTGGCAAAAAGCCAGGGCCATCGCCCTCAAGGGCCTCCCTGCTCCAGCAGTGAGTGCTAAAAGCACAGAGGGACCTCAGGTTTTTCCCACTTTGCAGTATAAATGAAGTCACCTAATTTTACAGTTTGCAACAGCACTTTGTGGACCCAAAAGCTAGGACAGTGTTTGAAGTACTTCGTCACCAAGCATCAATTCTGACTTTAAATAACTTTTCATCTCAAAGCCCTGCAACCGCATGTCCCCTGCCCACCTCTGCCTAAGGTGGCCTGTCCACCCAGGCCCTGTGCTCGCTGGCATGCCCGGCCTAAGCTATCCAGGCTTCCAAAGATCACTGCACGCTCCACCCGCCCTGCGTGTCACCACCCGTGTCCATCGTCATCAAGTCACACCTCAAGGCTTCAGTCCTTCAGGAGCTGGATTTCTAAGTAAAGCACACGACAAAGTCTGACAAGGTAAAAATAGGGACGTATGACAACAAAGATAAAAACTACACTTCTACATGTGTTATTTCATCGGGTCAAGTTCGTATACCTGAGTTAGTGGACTTCAGTATTTGGAAACGTTACCACCTCACACGTGGCTAACGAGGTCGGTCTGAAGCACGGCTGGGGCTCAGGTTAAATGGAATAGATGGAAGCCCCTCTTCGAGGAAAGCAGGGAGCTGGATGAGTGTCTAATGAGAGCACTGTGACCCTGAGCAGAGGGAGGCCAGCCATGGGCAGCCATGGAGGAATGAGCCGGCGATGGTTAAAACCAGGACCTTGAGCCGCTGCAGTCACTGCCCTTGACGCACACACTCTGGTAGCGCACTTAAACAACTCTCAAAGCTAGCCTAACGGGCTTCCAGAAACCTCACGAAGATGCCTGATTGCCATCGACAGGACATCTGTGATGTGGCCTAAAACAAACTGTCGTTTGACACTTTCATTGTTTCAAGTGACACATTTCTGTTCACTGATCAATACGTCTACTGATCTAACTGGTATGTTTTCTGAGGTTATTTTCAGGGCACTCCCAATACCCATGAGTAAAATGACCAATTATCCATGGTAACAGCAAACACATGTAATCTATTTAAAAAGGGAGGGGATGGCTTTCCTTAACTATGAGGGTGTTGCACAGAGTTGCTGCTGCCTTTTTAAAGTCAACCTTCATCATCCCTTAGTTGCTCCCCAGAGGACATCAATAGGTGTAATTATGCAAACAAACTCTTAGTAAAATGCTGAAGCTGGGGGACTGCACCCGACTTGGAAGGGGACGTTGAAAACATGCAAAATGCTTTCCAGAAAGGGTGCCTTTGGTGCCACCGTAAGCTGCACTTGGCACGCGTCGGAATGACAGTGACCATGGTGGAGCTGGAATATTCTGACAGTGAGAGAAACACTACTGTTTTTGAGCAGAGCTACATCAACTCTGCAAACCCTTCATCCAAACTCACTTTTAACTGTATTAGCTTGTGGATCAATTTACAGAAGGGCAAGGACTAACTTTGTAACCAGCCGGGAAAACCCATTCTAGAAAAGCAGCACCACACCCCATGCCAGGGTGGCTTCAGGGGATGGCCGACGCCCCTAAGTGCTGCCGAACTCTGCTTGGCAGCACTAGGCAGCGACTAGCGTGAGGGCAGAGGTGGCTCAGCACAGCCGTGTGCCAGGCCTGGGCCGCTAGCAGCAGGACTGCCTGTGGGTAGCTTCCACACCCTGGGGATCTGCTGTGGGAGGCCAGGTCCTGACTTAGGGAGCCAACAGAAACCTTAGTCGCCACAGGTGGCCCAGCTGCCCATGGGCCAGGCCACTACTGCCGATGAGCTTGTTTCTGCCCGCTGGCCATGTTGGTAAAGGAGATGAATTGTTGGGGTGAAGCCGAGTAGAGAACGAAGCAGGCTGGTGTCCACAGGGATCAGCGACCAGCAACACTCTGGCTCTTTTCCAACATGCATAAAATGAAGGGCCTTGTCACATGCAAGGCGGCTATGGCATCGCTGGCCACTGGGTGGCACTGGCGGGCCTCGGTGGAGCTCGGGAGGACATGGGTCTCCACCAGTTGTGCTGCGGGGTCCCCCTGGAGAGCAGCTGTGCAGAGGCCCAAAGGAAGCTACAGCAGGTGGGCAGTCAAGACGGGGCCTACCAAGCCTGGGCAGCCCCAAACACCCACACCTAGTGATGGTCTCCTGGGACAGCTCAGCAGACGGACAGCACCTGGGAGAAACTCCTGAGCTGCTGCAAATTGCTTTATACCTCTTGTCCTACTCACACTATGCATGTTTACCCCAAAAAGGAGCCTTTCAGTCACCCTGATGCATGGGCAGGCCTAGTGAATGATTGGCTGTAAAAGCCAGGTGAGCTTCAGGTGTGACAATGAGTAAAAGCACATGGTGAGTGCTCATAGTGCAGACAAGGGACAGCAGGCCTTCACAGCGGTGTCCCCTGCCTGTAACTGCCCGCTGCCACCATCACCACCCGCCCCACTGGGTCCTGAGTCTGCTCAGCAGGAAGAGCAAGGCAGCCACCACTGTGCAGACTGCCTCTGTAACAGGGACTGAAGCCAGGGGCTTGGAGGACAACACAGTGGAGAAGCTGTGAATTTTGTTCACTGTGATACCAGTTTTGCTTTCAGTTCAGCGGGACGCATGTACTATGCAGTCTCCCATTTCATGACTATCAAGAGCTTTCCTTGTGTGGAAAATCAATAAATAGCAGCAAGAAATCATTTTGCTTTTGTGCTTTTGCTTAAATATTTTGAATTAATCTTCTGGAAGTACAATAAAGTACTGATTTGCTTTTGCGTCAGAAAACACGGATTCCCAAGTTAGCACTAGAGCAAGCATATGCTGTACCCCAATTCCTCACCACCCGGGACGTCTGTGTGGGCCCACAACCCATCGTGGGCTGGGCCATGCACTTTTCTAGGTGGCTTGTTTCTGATGTGGTACCTGAGTGACTAACACCCTAAATGGAGAGCGAGGTGCATAGAACTCTCTGCAAGAAACTTGCAAAGAACCAAGTGGACATCTGTGGATCGATTACTCTTCCTCGTTTTGAGCCTCACATATACAGTTTTGAAATCTAAACCCAAAGCTGGTTCATGTTGGGTTGGTAACATGGAAAAGACTTTTCCAATTATGCTTCAATATGCTCCACTAGAATGAAATGTGACCAAGGCCGTGTCACCCCACTGGGCTGGCAGTGACGGGTCCAGCTGCACAGCAGGTGCCCGAGGAGCTGCCATTTCCGAACCAGGCACCAGGCACCCTCGTCACTGTAATAAGGTTACATTTTAAGCAACATCCTTCGTTTGTGCCCAAATTATTTACTACTTCAACCAACATGACAGGGGCTGGAGCATGTCAGTTAGTCCACCTGCCCCCCCTGTAAGCTCCTGGTCTCTAAGGGGCACCTCAGAGGACCCCCAGGCTGGTGCCCGAGCAATGCAGTTACCTTTACGTTCTTCTTGCAGAAGTCCTGCAGGCTCGCGGCAGACAGTTGCCCCAACCTTCATTTAAATAAATGAAAGTGGCAAAACTTCTTGTCCGTCTTCTAAGTTTACTTCTTTAATTCTCAGAAGCCAAGGACTTAACTACGTGCATGATTTTGTGCAACACACAAAAATCAAGATTAACATTTTATAACTTGATACAAACAGGGCAGACTGTGTACCATACTGGAGGCACGGCAGCAGCGTCTTCGGAGTGGACCTGCGCACTCTGGTGATGCCACCAAGGCACTTTCCTCTAGTAATAATCTTCAAACAGTACCAGAGCGGATCCACAGCTGCAAAGGCCACATCAGGTTCACCGAAGGGCAGGTGAATTGAGCAGGACCCACCCTGCAGGAACCGGCAGCCCTTCCCCACTCCCGGGGTGGCACACACTGCTGCCGAGAGCTTTCATCTCAGTGTTAGCTTATGTTCATGTGAAACCTCCCCCGACCTAATTTTCTCAACAGATGGCTATTTTTTTAAGCTTGTAAAAAGTAAAAAAGAGAATACTCTTCCGCACTGCGAGGTGAGGAAACGAAGCTGCGTGGACAACATTAAAAGCCGTCAAACTAAGTCCTGCATCAGGAAAAGTTGCTTCTTCCCTCTCA